CAAGTTCACCTTCACTTCACCAGAGCAGTAGTGAAATTTACTCACTAACATATTGGCTTGGACATATAGCATTCTTCTCTGTCTAAGCATGTCAGCGTCATCCTCCATCTTATCATTGATGATGTGGCCTAGATATTTTGCATTGGTACATACAGACAAGGTTTGACCAGACAAATAGAAACCCGGGAAATTAAGATGTTGATCCTTCTTGGTCCTACATATCATTATCATACTCTTTTTGGCATTATACTTGATGTCAAACTTGACTCCATAGTCTGAGCATATGTTGAGAAGCTGTTGGAACCCTGCACTACTGGGAGATATAATGGCCAAATCATCAGCGTACATAAAGTGGTTGATTAAGGTGTTACCCATTATGCACCCTGTTCTACAATCTCTCAACTGCCTTGACAGGTCATCCATGTACTGAATAGGCCTGGGGATAGAAGCCCACCCTGCCGTACCCCATTGCCAACTCTGAAGGGAGAGGATAAGATATTCCCCCATTTTACCTGCATAGTCTGCCTGTCGTACCAATATGCCAGGATACGTATGATGCTACCCGGGACCCCCCTATGCTTCAGCTTGGTGAAGCGCTTGAGATGGTTGACTCTGTCAAATGCCTTAGAGGCATCAATAAAGCCTACCAACATTGTTGAGCCCTGCCCTCTGTACTTTTCTACTGCTTCTTTTAATGCATAAATACACAAATCAGTACTGTGCTTGCTCTTAAAACCGAATTGGTTGTCTGTGGTGCAAATAAGATCCCCAACACTGTCTATTATTACCCTTTATAGCACCTTAGACAGTATGCTGGCTAGGGCAATGGGTCGATAATTGTCCATACTCCCTACCTTACCAGCCTTGTCTATAATGACAGGTACTAGAATAACTGTCAGTATAGCATCTGGCAGGATGCCATGCGTTACCAACCCTGTAAAACAGATGGAGAGCAACACAGCAACCCTAGGGCTGGCTAGCTTCAAGTGCTCTGCAGTAATATTATCCCTGCCACATGCTTTGTTATCAGCTAGTTGCCTTATGGCTTGGGAAATCTCATAGGGGCTGATGTGTACCACTTCCTCCTCTATGTTACCTGTACAGTAGGGCTCACTTCTGACACAGTTGAACAGAGCAGCATAGTGCTGCCTCCATAGTTCAGTTATATTTTCTCCACCAGATACACCCTCAATGTTACATGGCAATGCTGCTTTAACCCTATTTATATTTTTAACTTCTTTCCAGAAGCCAGTGACAATTTTCCAGCCATAGAGTCAGCTCTCAAGGCTTGCACATGCTTGCCAACAAAGCGCACTGCATATTTGTATCTAGTATTGGTTAGCCTTTTATGCTCTAGAACAGGCCCCTGTCTAGGTCTACCAGCAATAACCCAGGCCTTATGAGCCGCCTTAGCCTCTGCATGGGGGCCAGCTACATACCTGTTCCACCCAGGCTTGGTGTTTTTAGCTTATAGCAAATAAAATCGTCATTACAGTATTGGTTCTAGTAGCATGGTGTGCTGCAGATCTGCATGTGGTTTGTTCAAGTGATGTTGCTATACTCCAGCAGAAGCCTTTTGACTGATGTAGGTACAATCAATGTCAAATACTGTGCTCATTACTTTCAAATGTGTTTAAAAAGAAAGAACTAGAATGTAACACAAGGGTTAGATTGTCGATTTATGTTGCACTGTGTGTGTCACTTAGACAGTAATAGCTTTCATTGATGGCATAACCTATTTGTTGGTATACTGTCAACACTGGAGGATTTGGTCCTCCCACTCCATAGCTACAGTCTTGATATTTGAAAGTAAGGCCAAAGTTTTAACGGTCTTTAAAATTGTTTAATCTTTTGTAAAATGCTTACAAATTAAGTCTGAGAAGTAAGTCTGTTCTTTCCAGACAAGCCTTTGAAGTCCCAGTAAAACTGGCTGTAACAATGCCACTAGCTTTTTGAAATCTGGGTTGATGCATTCAACCCAAATTATTTAAAAAAAAAAAAAAAAAAAAAAAAACACACCCTTTCTTAGCAGCAACATGCTCCTATAGTTCACTCGAGTTTTAACATTCACCTTGAGAATCAATTCATTTGATTGTGAAAGACAGAACACTGCAGCCTTAAAGAACTTGAGCTTTGCATGTTGCCTCCCTTAAAGGGTGTCCTTGGACAGATGACTTTACACTGCAGCAACACAGCTGAACGCTACCTCAGCTTGTTTCATACTGAGGCTTGAAACCATATAGCCTGCACTGTCCAACAACTTTAAACCAAGACAGCACATCCACATTTAAGGAATCAAGTTTATTTCAACACTGAAGACAAGTACAAAATACATTTACTGAAGACATTAGTCAAAGTATACACAGGCTCCATCACAAGGGCTGAAAAGGCCAATGTCACAGGCGCCTCACTGACAGCAGCTGGTGTCACACGTCTTCCCTTTGCACACGCAGCCAGAGGCACATTTGCTGCAGCCAGATGGGCAGCATGAGCAGCAGCCTGCAAGAAGAAACAAGTTAGTGACAGACCAGTGGTAAAGTCATCTAGTCTGGCAGGGGAAAACCCATGAGACAGCTACCACCTTAAAAATTCTAGGACATTATATAATCGACTGCAAGTCAGAACATACTTTAGGCAAAAATTAGTAAAACATGCTGGCCTCTTTGAATGTCCACCTGCCCCAGCTCATTAAGCTAATTACTGAGCAGTTGCCTATTTCATGTAAAAGGAGATTTTACATACACACTAGGAAAAAGAAACACAAGGGAGACAGTTTAAACATTTTATACATATGATTAAGAGTGCAGAGAAAGTTTTAACTCATGGGCCCAGTGCATTTAGAGGAAAAAGGCAGAAGCTGTAAGCTTTTAGGACATATCTTAATGGTCACTCTGAATTAGTATCTCCTGAGGTTCAGTATTCATCTGAAGAAAGACTGTTAGTCTCATTCCCAGGTCGTCAAAGACAACGACTTTGGTTTGGTGATTAAACCGAACCACCAAACAAAGTGTCATATTTAACGACCTTGGAGTGAGATTCAATTAACCATCTCTCTCCTGAATTACATGCTGCACCCCAAAATCCCTCACGTAGGCCAATATAGTGCTTTTCAAAACAAAATCATAGAGAGCTTTATAAAAAAAAATAATATGGTTAATAGAGAAACGTCTTATAGGTCAAACAGATATGGATGTCATTTGACTTACTCTTCTTGCAGGTGGTGCAGGAGCAGTTAGTGCACGTGCAGGATCCTCCGCAGGTGCAGGTTCCACCTAGACAACAAAATCAAGCCAGATCAGTTCAACCTTGTCCGCTACTGCTAGCGACACATAGCCTTACAAAATACTAGGCTATAACCATGAGAAATAACACCAAACAGAAACGTTAACGAATAACTTACTCTTGGAGCAATCGCAAGGGTCCATTTTCTCTGTTGTTGTTGTTGTTGTTTCTTGTCTTCGGGTGAAGATGCTCTGTCTCTAGTCTGAGCCGAGTCAGTGTTTTGATTTCCAGAGCATGGGCGGCTCTTTTTATAGGGTCCTGAACACAACAGCACCGGGTGCAAAACTGCGCCTGTCACGCTGCACGCAGGCACGTAGTAGACGATTACAAAGAGGTTTGTGCACACGACTTCTCAACCACCCAGGAGCGAGAGCAAAGAGCAGAGGGAGTCCCAGGAGAGGAAGAATTCACTGGCGTGTTGTCTGAACGTTATGTAAGACCCCCCCGAACCCCCTTTCCCCCTCTGGCGACACCAAACCCCGGAATAATTTACGTGTTTACGCGGAGAAAAACACTATTATACACGACAGTATTTAGAACACAGGTTACTACAGTTCATCAACAGACTGTTTCATTTCCAGGTAGTATGTGGGGACATTGAACGACACCTGTGTCTCCATTAGGATATTATAATTTCCTTTTTGCGTGTGTGTGGGGTCAGTAGTGAAATTGCGGAGCCCTGGAGTGTTATATGGGGTATCTGAGGGGAAACGCCTATTTAATATGTAAACACTAGAAGATCACTAGACTAAGTCATGTGCTCAGTTTGCGCACGGATCTAGTGAATGAAATAAATTCAAATTTATGTGGAGGAGTGTGTAGTTGAGATGCGTTCACGGGTGCAAAAAAGACTTCCGATGTAGCCCCCCGAGAAAAGGGGTTTGGTGTGGTGGGCAAAATATTTTAGGCCAATGTAATTAGGTATTTACTCACGAAAATAAAGCTCATAATCGGTATCAAAAATAGGTTATAATAATATTAAAGTCAGCCTGTATGCTGTCAACAAGTGGACAATCTTATTCTTATTCCTACTTGTGTTTATATTGTGTTGTACACGGTAGCATTATACAAATATTTTATATTTCTAACTTTACATACTAGGTTTATACACTGTGTTATAGCATAAGGCACATATTTTTTATATTTTTACACACTTCACATACTTAGCACATTATACATCATTTATATTATTTAAATATTTTACATTATAGTGTTAACACTGTAGCACATTGCATGTATTTTATTTTTGTAATTTTATATACTTCGTACTTATACCTATATTTCTACAGCATTTCTGATCCTGATTCTGAAAGCCATGTCTAAACTAGAAGATACACAAGTCGTAGGCTAGTTGTTTAAGTGTAATTAATCAGAGGGGATTGTGGGGTTATCTGGCTCGCTGTTTGCATGTTACCTGTTGTTTAATTTTATTATTAAACGAGATTATACAAGGTAATTTTAACATTACAAATTTCTAATACCAGTCTAGTCAGTGTTTTAATATAACTACTAAATTACAATAATTACCCTACTTTGTTTAACCTGTTTTCTTTTATTTTGAATTTCTGTTGTATTTCCGGAAACCTTACATCAAAATACAAAATTAAATGTACTGTACGTGTCCTCTTACAATTTACTAATATGAAATCGTTTAAATCAATCATGTGATCCGTAATTTTATTGTCATACAGACCATAGTTTTGAGGTTTAGTCATTTTGCTCAATACTGTAATGTCATGGTGACTTTCAAACATTGACAGTCGTGTAGCCTACTGGCTCAGTGACAGTTTTATTTTCCCATCACATGTAGTGTCCTGTGCTGGTTCTCGGTGTTTTCAGGTCTGTGCACACGGTACAAACACACTGCTGTCTGTTGTGGTTTCTGCAATCCCCCCTTCCCTCCCTACCTCGCGCTGCTCTGCACCCGGCCGCTTTACTCAGCGCTCGTGAGCAAACTAAAGTAAATAGGCTATTGTAGTGTGCTGCGTTCATGTAACGTGCGCTGTAGGAATGACCTCACTCACAGGTCAAATGCACATGACAACTCTTTTGCTTGCTGCTCGGGTCCAGAGGACACACAAAAACGTCAGTGACGTTTTTATCAATAAGCATAATCGCAGGTTCATGATGAAACTGAGCAGGAGGTTGAGATGATGAAGACAATCAGGGTACTCCCTTTTGTCTTGAATCCTGTAGAAATAATTAGCACACCCACTTCAGTAAAGAACACCACTGCCATTTTATGAGGATGACTGTATTTTTATTTGTTTGTTAGGCTACGTTTAGCTACCTCACATTTCCACAGGTGGCGACTATTTATGTGTACTATTCTGATGTCGGAGCTTGTGATGGGAGCCTGAAGGCAGCATTGTCCCTTTTGCGCACTGTCCGGCTGCTCTGAGTGTTTTTCCACAGAAGTGACCGTTATTACATGTCCATGCGTAATGAGTCATTACGGGATAAGGTTTAGAGCTGTGTGCAACTTTTTAGAAACAACTAGAAAATAATCAGCTCACAGCCCACATGATTTCCCAGGGGAAATATAGGCCTCATATGGGCTTTTTTATTGCATTGTGTATTGTCAATGTTAATGTCTTGTTGAGTGAGTCCAGTAGTGTAGTGGAGGGTATACGCAGGTATACAGGTTATAGACTACCCACCACTTTTTCTGTACATTTACAATATACTCACCTATCAGCCAACAATCCAGTGGAGTATATGAGAGAGTATACTCGCTTCCTCCTCAATAACCTATCCACCTAGTAGTACACCCACCTCATCAACTACAACTACACCACTGAGTGGGTCATATACACAATAAGCCTTGATCCGACCTGTGCCATTTTTGTTGTGTAAAAAAGGGTGTTTAAACCCCTAGAGCTTTATTCTAAATTATTTTATCACACAGAAAAGTGTATAAATGACACACATATCATTTTTGTTCACTCTATAGTACAGCCATTAAAGCTGTACCCTTAATATTTCACTCAATTTAAGTTCAGTACCTTCAATGAAAATAAAGAACATGTGATGCTGTGATGTATCTAGCTTTCAGGATGATAAAGGGGGAAAACAACGACAAAAAAGAGCACCCATGACATGTAAACAGTGTTAGGAACAACAAGTAGCTTACAACTATTATTTATAATAGTCTTGATTTCCCTGTGTGTAGCCCTAACTCAGGTTTAGGTATGTCTGATCACAATCAGAAATGACATGATCACAGATGGTGTGATTGTTCACAGATACTTATCTGTGGAGAATTATTTAAACAGGATGTTGGAGAGTACAGGTGAAGTGTTGTAAGTAGGCCTTTAAAAACACTTCAGAGCATTAATGAGCCCCGATTCCTTATTTCATCTGGTCAGACTCAATTTGGATTCTGGCTTAGTAACACAAAAGTATTCATTTGTTTTTCATCCTTTGTTTATGAATCCCATGTCAGTGGTTGATAATACAGGAGGGCACCGCACAGGGCATGGAGAGGTGCTGTTTGTGTCAGACAGCTCTAGAGGGAGACATCCACACATTTATATAATGAGGGAGAGCTTTCCTTGTGGGCACACGATAAAATTTTCTCATCAGGTATTTGTGCCATTTGTCTTACAAGTGCATTTTTTTTTTTTTTTAAAAAAAAAGTGATCTACATTTTAATTTGTTTTCCAACATCTGCAACAGAGCCCCCAGCCATTTTACCTATGAAACAGCTAAGCTATGAGTGGAAGCAATCAGTGTGTACGCATGAGTTACAACCTTCTATCCTACTGTAATATTTTAATGGAAAAGTAATGGATAGCAACCACTTATGTACAAGCAAGACATGTAGTACAAAACATAACAAAACATAACCAAAACATTATTACAGTAGGCTGTATCCTCACCTGTTAACAATTAAGAAAACAATACAGTACATTAGAGATACTTGTGTTGATTTAAGTGATAATGGAGTAAAATAATAACAGCTACAGAAAAAATAAATTGGAAGAGGAGCTCTGCAATAAAACAATCACCATCTTGTTCAGATTCTCTGTGCAGGCCTCTGGCTCACACATGTGACAGTATACATGTTCGTGTATTTTCCTTTAACTTATTTCAATTTATTTTTAATAATGTTGAGATTTGGACTGCTGGTTGAACTTTGTGAAGGTGTCATTTTGGGCTCTGGGTAATCAAGACGGCATTTCTTACTATTTTCAAAAATGTTTATAGACCAAACAATCAGTCAATTAATGGAGAAAATAATGAGCAGATTAATCCATAATAGAAATAAACATTAGTTGCAGTCCCATATAAAACAGTTTAAAAAATAGCTTCACCTCAACCAGCAACGGTCATGCTTTTACATGAATGCATGAGTAATAATAAGCTAATGATATAATAGTACAACAGCCAGGGGACATTTCTCTGCATTAAATACTTTTATTTTTAGTACTTTGAGTAGATTGTCTTATCAAATATACTTTTACACATAGATACATTTTTCAGTGCAGGACTTTTACTTGTGACAGAGTATATTTTTGGTGCAGTGTCAATAATATTACTTAAATAAAGGATGTGAATACTTCCTCCAGCACTGGTGTGTGTGTGGTGTTTGTGTGTAAAGGGCACAGTTCAGAGGGGAATTTGATCCTAAAGCGCAGCGTGAGACAGGGCACATGCACTGCAAAAAAGATGACATGCTTGCCCTCTCAAATGATTTTATGTTGTAGGTAATGCAAGGTTTGATTGCCGTGGTGTCATTTCTGATTACTTAAGAATGTGAATATAAATGCTATTTAAAGACATCAGATGGTTTTACATGCTTCATCTATCTAATCTAATATGTATGTCACATTATGATGACACACATTCCACTGCTTGGAATAATTAGTTAATATTTAAAATCTTTAGCGAGTTTAGAAAGATTAAGTCACTCAAACTCATACAAGCGCAGATCTGACTAGAAGATCAAGTCTTGCTGTCACTGAGCTGCTCGTTATTTGCTGAGCGTGCTGGGATCTTATTCCACCAGGACAGATACGTCTGTGTTTTTCCTGGACCCCTCACCCCTACACCCTGATACCTACTGCCTCAAAAAAAGAAGAAGAAGAAGGAGAAGAAGAAGAAGAAGAAGAAGAAGAAGAAGAAGAAGAAGAAGAAGAAGAAGAAGAAGAAGCCAAGAGGAGTGTCCCTCTGAATCTTGACCAGCTTCCTTCTAGGAAAAATAGTTCTCCCTGGAATGCATGGCAAACTCATCTCAGCAGCGTGCGGTTCATGCTCCACTTAACTACTTGCTGCATTAAGTCACATGATTTCTTTTACAAATCATATACTGGTGGATATGCTGTGTGGGGAAGAGGGAGGACACGTGCACTCAATACGAAGATTCACACACTAGCAGGTAAGTTCAGCTGCAATGACCAAGTGAGAAGCAGGCTCTTTTGAAAATCCTGACAAAATAATCCTTGAAAAGCATTAAACAGCTTTTTGGAATTTGACAACAGAGACTAACACTGAAATACTTTCTGTTTAATAAATCCGACAAGAAGATGATAATTCTTTTAGGGGGTGTAATAGATTTTATTTTGAGTGAAGGTTACTGTCCTGCAGAATCATTGTTATGCTGCCTCTATTGTTTCCAATTTATACCAGTTACATATAGGCTTTGTAAAACAGTGCATGCTGCGGAGTATTCTGGGCTCATACATCTGGGTTAAACAAAATTAAGTTATCCTGTAACTGAAGCATACATGTTGAGGTGAAGAGCCTGGCAAACACAGTTAATAAAATGGGATGTAAACTATTATAAGCTGCAGGCATCGAAGGGAAACGAAGACAGGTGAATTCAGAAGGTGTTAAGGATAGGGGCTTAGTAATTCAGTTTGTCCGTGAGGGAGAGAAATACAGAAGGGATAAGTTAGTGAGGAGGCAAGGGTGTGGCCGCCTAGAAGGTGCTTGTGATTGGGAAATGCAAGTAGATTTAGGGGGAAAGCTTGTTGTTCCTCAGGAAATAGTCTGTACCAGGCAGAGGCCTGACTTAGTGTTGTGGTCAGTGAGTCAACAGATAGTTTATTTCATTGAGCTGACAGTTCCTTGGGAAGACTCAGTGGAAGAAGCCTATGAAAGAAAAAAGCTTAGATATGCAGACTTAGGAGCAGAAGCTGAGCAGCGAGGATGGAAGACTAGGATTTGTCCAGTGGAAGTGGGGTGTAGGGGATTCATAGCAAGATCAACTGTCTCACTCCTGGGGGAACTCGGAGTGCGGGGACAGAATTTGAGGAAGACAGTGAGGGAAATGTCAGATGAAGCAATTAAATGCAGCCAGTTTATCTATTACAGAAGAAATAATGTCAGCTGGGGGCCAGCAGGGGGAACTACTAAGCAGGGCACATAACTCCTTGAGATCAGGTGGAGAGATCCACTTCCTGTCAGGAGAAATCCAGGAAGAGGAAGTATTTAAGTGTGGGAGTGGCCTATTGGAATCCATTTTGTTTGAGGCCATGCGGCAAGGTGAGTGTGCTTGCTGATCCTGTAAGTCCAGTTAGCTCCTTTAACTTTAGCTTATATTGTAGTTATGCTATGTAGTGTGTGAAATAGAGTATGGTGAATGTGACAGGAAAGCTAGTATCAGCATTGCTTCTGCCTGGAGCTCGCATGTATGGAGCCTGGGTTTGGTTGAAGATGGCAGTGCTGTTTGGGCTGAGAAAGCCATGTGTAAGTAAGAAGGAAATCCAGGAAGAGGAAGGTTATTTAAGTGTGGGAGTGGCCTATTTGAATCCATTTTGTTTGAGACCATGCTGCAAAGTGAGTGTGTTTGCTGATCCTGTGAGTTCATTTATCTCCTTTAACTTTAGCTTACATTGTAGTTATGCTATGTAGCGTGTGAAATAGAGTATGGTGAATGTGCTAGTAAAGGTAGTATCAGCATTGCTTCTGCCTGGAGCTCGCATAAACGGAGCCTGGGCTTGGTTGAAGTTGGCAGTGCTGTTTGGGCTGAGATCACTGTCCAGCCTCCTGGAGGTGTCATTGTTGTGAGGGCTCGTCCTGGGGAGGTAGACTGTACAGCCTAACCCGGCGGGGGAGTGTGATAGCCTAACAAGGCTTCCTTCCCTGGGTCTACCTCCTCTGTGGTAGTATAGGTAAGGTAAAGGAGGTTGTTCGGTTAGTGTGGGGAGCAGTGAGACCTGGCATTAGGGGAGTGTCTCTGGGACGCCAGAGATCACTGTCTAGCCTCCTGGAGGTGTCGTGGGACTAACTAGACGAAACACCGGTGAAAGGAGGTTCCCACCCGATGACCCCAAAGACATGTTAGTTATCACTGCTCACGGGTCTGTATAGTTAAGCCTTGCCATAATAGCTTATCGTAGGGCTTAGGAGGATTATTCACTGAGTGCTGATCCCTTTTTTTTTTTTTTTTTTTTAGAGCACAAACTTCTTGTGTTTATTTGAATTCAGAACTAGCCCAGCTAGTGACTGCTGTGAATAGGGCAGCTGACAACAAGGGAAAGACCATGTGACCGCTTGGAAAGACAGCTGACAGGAGGGAAAAGACCCCAGCGGTGCTGGCATGGGTTAGCAACCCATGGTAGCAGTGGTGAGGCCTAGCAGCCTTATTACAACCAAAATTAGCTACAGCCAACATAGGGAAAATACCCCAAGAGTCAGCGAGAGCAGGGGTGGAAGATGACTCACAGGTGGATTACACGGTAACAGACATTGGAAAGGACACGACTATGACTTGGACCGGTGACTCAGTGAAGGATAGGGGCACGGACCTATCCACCAGTGCTAGAATTAGCAGCACTCAGGGCAAGGTGAGCGCATCTGTAGAGGGCAAAAGTAGCATAGTTGAGAACAAGATGCTTCAGGTTTGTCCTTGCGGCTGGCAGAAAGTAACATCAGTGAAAGGCCTCAGAACTCATCAGGGAAAGAAGAAGTGTGTGGCAAAGAAAGGGCAGAGTAGCCGCATTGATCAGTACTTCCTAAGAAGTCAGTCGAGTCAGTCGGATGAAGTCCAGCGGCAGGTAGAAAACCACAGTTCGCAGGATATCAGTAACGCTGCCACTGAGGAGGAGGGGGTAGTAAGAGAGGATGCAGGTGACACTGAGGCCAGTATGCTAGCCAGAGAAAGAACTATGGAGCAAAAGGTTAGAGTTAGATGGCCTAGAGCAAATGACAGTAAAGAATGGGAGATAGTTAATAGAGACTTGTCAGTAATCTTGAGTAGGCTTAGAGGAAATGCAATACAAAGGTTAGAAAAGATGGGAGATATAATGTATTCATATGGTGTAGAGAGGTTTGGGGTGCATGAGAGAAAGAGGAGTGAGAGGGTACAGTCAGGTAAGTCTAGGCGGCAGAGAGAAATAGAGAAGTTAGTCAAGGAAAGGAGACAGTTAAGAAAGCAGTGGAAAAAGGCTACAGAAGAAGAAAGGGAGGGAATTAAGGTGTTGCAAGAGGAGTTGAGAAGCAGGCTAGCAGTTCTTAGAAGGGCGGAGCATCTCAGGAAAAAGAGGAGGAAGAAGGAATATGCTAGGACAGGTTTTTTCAGGGACCCTTTTAAGTTTGTTAAAGGATTGTTCAGCCAGGAAAAGGGAGGGCAGCTTAAAGCAGAAAGGTTAGAGGTTGAAGAATATTTGAGAAACACGTATTCAGATTTGGAGAAGAATAGGATAGTAGGTTTCCCACCTGATATCCCTCCATTAGGAGGGATAGAGCATGAGATGGATGTCAGGCCACCTAGGTGGAAGGAAGTTCAGGAGGTGGTCAGGCGTGCAAAGGCTTCTTCGGCCCCAGGGCCTAATGGAGTCCCCTACCGGGTTTATAAAAGTGCGCCTGATACCCTTAAATTTTTGTGGAAACAGCTAAGAATAGTTTGGGAAAAACAAATTATACCAAGAGCATGGCGTAGGGCAGGGGGTGTCCTCATTCCTAAGGAGAAGGAGTCTGTGGACCTTAGCCAGTTCCGGATGATTTCTCTCTTGAATGTGGAGGGGAAGATTTTCTTTAGTGTAGTAGCGCAGAGACTAGCTAGCTACTTAGAAAGGAATAGCTTAATAGATACCATGGTGCAGAAGGCAGGAATACCAGGTTTTTCAGGGTGTTTAGAGCATACTAGCATGATCTGGCACCAGATTCAGGCAGCGAAGATTAACAAAAGGGACCTACATGTAATATTTTTAGATCTTGCAAATGCGTTTGGTTCAGTACCGCACAGCCTCATTTGGAGTGCGTTTGACTACTTCAGAGTGCCACAGGTAGTTGTTAACTTAGTGAAAGCATATTTTCAGGATATTAGGTTGTGTCTAAGTACAGCAGGTTTCACAACAGGTTGGCAGAGGCTAGAAATAGGCATCATGGCAGGGTGTACAATTTCTCCATTAGCATTTACTATGGCAATGGAAGTAATCATCAGGGCTTCTAAGTGGGTGGTAGGTGGGGAGAGACGGCAGAATGGGTTGCATCTTCCACCAGTTAGGGCTTACATGGATGACATGACACTGGTGACCACAACAATGCCATGTACAAAGAGGCTACTAGAGAAGGTAAATAAGAACCTCAAGTGGGCCAGCATGAAAATCAAGCCTAGTAAATCTAGAAGCATCTCGATATGTAGAGGGAAGTTAAGTGATAGGAAGTTTGTCATAGATGATGAGGACATCCCAACAATTAGGGAAAAGTCAGTAAAGAGCTTAGGTAGGTGGTACAATGTAGAGTTGAATGATAAGGAACAGGTGGTGAAATTTAGAAAAGATGTGGCTGAAGGATTGGATAGAATAGATAAATCAGAACTTCCAGGAAAGTTGAAGTTGTGGTGTTTGCAATTTGGGCTATATCCTAGGTTAATGTGGCCATTGTCAGTTTATGAAATTCCAATATCTGTTGTGGAGAGAATGGAAAGGTCGGTTAGCTCCTACATTAGGAAGTGGTTGGGCGCTCCTAGGTGCCTAAGTAGTGTTGCATTGTATGGAAAAGGGATACTTCAGCTGCCAGTATCTAGTTTAACAGAGGAATTTAAATGTACCAAGGTCAGGACAGAGCTCTTGTTATCTGGGAGTAAGGACGTGGTAGTTAGGAGTGTGGTTCCAAATCCAACCAAGGGGAGGAAGTGGAACCCAAGATCGGCAGTTCAGGAGGCAGAGGCAGCTCTTAGACATGCAGAGATTGTAGGTAATGTTCAGTTTGGCCGGGGAGGCCTGGGGCTTGGCTCAGGTAAACCGGTATGGAATACAGCAGGCCTCAAAGATAAAAGAAAGCTGGTTGTAGAACAGATACGCAGACAGGAAGAGATAGTAAGGGGTGCAAAGGTAGTGGCCCAGGCTAAACAGGGACAGTGGTTGAATTGGGAAAGTGTAGAGAAGAGGAAGCTTAGTTGGAGGGACCTGTGGAGTATGGAGGAGAATCGTATTAGATTCCTGGTAGGGGCTACATACGATGTGTTACCAACCCCCCAGAACCTAAAACTGTGGGTAAATGAGGACCCATCATGCCCATTGTGTTCACGTACCGCAACTTTAAAGCATATTTTGTCAGGCTGTAAAGTTAGCTTGTCACAAGGCCGATATACATGGCGACATAATCAGGTGTTGAAATGTTTAGCTGCAGGCATCGAAGGGAAACGAAGACAGGTGAATTCAGAAGGTGTTAAGGATAGGGGCTTAGTAATTCAGTTTGTCCGTGAGGGAGAGAAATACAGAAGGGATAAGTTAGTGAGGAGGCAAGGGTGTGGCCGCCTAGAAGGTGCTTGTGATTGGGAAATGCAAGTAGATTTAGGGGGAAAGCTTGTTGTTCCTCAGGAAATAGTCTGTACCAGGCAGAGGCCTGACTTAGTGTTGTGGTCAGTGAGTCAACAGATAGTTTATTTCATTGAGCTGACAGTTCCTTGGGAAGACTCAGTGGAAGAAGCCTATGAAAGAAAAAAGCTTAGATATGCAGACTTAGGAGCAGAAGCTGAGCAGCGAGGATGGAAGACTAGGATTTGTCCAGTGGAAGTGGGGTGTAGGGGATTCATAGCAAGATCAACTGTCTCACTCCTGGGGGAACTCGGAGTGCGGGGACAGAATTTGAGGAAGACAGTGAGGGAAATGTCAGATGAAGCAATTAAATGCAGCCAGTTTATCTATTACAGAAGAAATAATGTCAGCTGGGGGCCAGCAGGGGGAACTACTAAGCAGGGCACATAACTCCTTGAGATCAGGTGGAGAGATCCACTTCCTGTCAGGAGAAATCCAGGAAGAGGAAGTATTTAAGTGTGGGAGTGGCCTATTGGAATCCATTTTGTTTGAGGCCATGCGGCAAGGTGAGTGTGCTTGCTGATCCTGTAAGTCCAGTTAGCTCCTTTAACTTTAGCTTATATTGTAGTTATGCTATGTAGTGTGTGAAATAGAGTATGGTGAATGTGACAGGAAAGCTAGTATCAGCATTGCTTCTGCCTGGAGCTCGCATGTATGGAGCCTGGGTTTGGTTGAAGATGGCAGTGCTGTTTGGGCTGAGAAAGCCATGTGTAAGTAAGAAGGAAATCCAGGAAGAGGAAGGTTATTTAAGTGTGGGAGTGGCCTATTTGAATCCATTTTGTTTGAGACCATGCTGCAAAGTGAGTGTGTTTGCTGATCCTGTGAGTTCATTTATCTCCTTTAACTTTAGCTTACATTGTAGTTATGCTATGTAGCGTGTGAAATAGAGTATGGTGAATGTGCTAGTAAAGGTAGTATCAGCATTGCTTCTGCCTGGAGCTCGCATAAACGGAGCCTGGGCTTGGTTGAAGTTGGCAGTGCTGTTTGGGCTGAGATCACTGTCCAGCCTCCTGGAGGTGTCATTGTTGTGAGGGCTCGTCCTGGGGAGGTAGACTGTACAGCCTAACCCGGCGGGGGAGTGTGATAGCCTAACAAGGCTTCCTTCCCTGGGTCTACCTCCTCTGTGGTAGTATAGGTAAGGTAAAGGAGGTTGTTCGGTTAGTGTGGGGAGCAGTGAGACCTGGCATTAGGGGAGTGTCTCTGGGACGCCAGAGATCACTGTCTAGCCTCCTGGAGGTGTCGTGGGACTAACTAGACGAAACACCGGTGAAAGGAGGTTCCCACCCGATGACCCCAAAGACATGTTAGTTATCACTGCTCACGGGTCTATATAGTTAAGCCTTGCCATAATAGCTTATCGTAGGGCTTAGGAGGATTATTCACTGAGTGCTGATCCCTTTTTTTTTTGTTTTTTATTAGAGCACAAACTTCTTGTGTTTATTTGAATTAAAGAATATAAAAAGGTCAAGCTGAAACATTTCTAGAACTAAATCACTTGGGTGACCTGCTGAGAGAGAAGACATATCCGGCATGGGACTCTTTAATGGCATTTTGGGACAGAATTGTTTTTTGCGAGCAGATCCCTCTGTTCACCCACTGCATGAACTCCACATATGTGGCTGCTTAACTACTAACTCTATTATTTTAGCCTTAGCTGTTTACACACTAATTAGCACCATGTGGTAACACTAAACAGAGGTGTAGAGGAATGACTGATGAGGAGTCAGCTGGGTCTGAGAGGCATTCATCAATCATGTTAAACACAGAGCACATCAGACGGAGCTTTTGATCACCATAGGAACAAGCTCAGGACTTTGGTCTAATCATCAGCAGCCAGGGTGAAGAGGTGCTGGTGTCATTCGCAACACCAGTCCAGTAAACAAATCTTCACTCTAACAAGTACAGTTGTATTGACAGAGGTGTCAGAGAAGGGGACACTGGAGCAGTGGGAACTATTATGGTGCGTTATAGTGGCTTGCATTGGCACATTAACCATTTGTTTTAAAAAAAATCTCCTATTAGATTTTTTTTTTTTTTTTTTTTTTTTTTAAGGTTGGTCATAGATACAGTTTGGAGTGTTCACAGAGATTTAGAACACAATGCTAACTACCTTGTGCATTATGTTTTCTACAGAATTTTAACCAGTTCTTTTACCTCAGAGTGCAGTTGGTTTGTTGTCTTTCATCTTAAGAGGCTGCATCATGGTGGTTAAGGACAAGATTGATCATAGTGTACATTTATCTCTCTTCACAGACTGTGCCATGGATCATGTGCTGAACACTGCTGACAATTACATCTTCACTCCGTATGTTTACCCGGCCACATGGCCCGAGGACTGGGCTCTGCGTCAGATAATCAGCCTGTGGGTAGTGACCAACTTGGGAGCACTGCTCATTTATCTGGGCTTTGGTGCTCTTAGTTTCTATTACGTTTTTGACCATAAGCTCATGAAACATCCACATTTTCTTAAGGTAAAATGTTGCATGGGTTCAATGCCAAATAATTGACTGGGGTGTAAACTATTTGTGACTGGTACTGTCACATCTGACCTTCCAAAGCAGACTTCTCCCAAAACCTAACTTTGTGTCTTTGATCCACTGACAGGACCAGGTCAGAAAAGAGATTAAACTAGCAACAGCCTCCATCTTCTGGATGAGCTTCCCCACAGTGGCCCTTTTCTTCTGGGAGGTCAGGGGATATAGCAAACTTTATGACAACATCAGTGAATCTTGTCTAGGTGAGACAACCCTTACCTGAAACATAATTTCATTTACTGAGCAGATGTTAGCTGATAATAGCCACCAATCAAAGATTTCAATAATAAGTCCAAATGAGACCTATTAGCCTACTGGTTTGTTCTGTTTCAGGCTGGCCGGGGATGTTCCTGAGCATTGCTGGTTTCTTGTTCTTCACTGACATGTGTATCTACTGGATACACCGTTCCCTGCACCACAAAAGAATTTACAAGGTGAGCTGGAACATGATTATGGCAAGTTTGGAGCTGCTCTACACAAAGATTTTCTATAAACAATGAACCAAATGACAGTGTAATAAGAGAGGGGTCACTCATAGTTATGAACCCAGTGAGAATGATCACCTAAATCTGCAGTTCACCTCAACTCTGCAGAGCATTTTAGCCTTTTTCAGCTCATTGTTTGAGTCTCACCGCTGTCATGAACCTGTTTTCAGTAGCAGGCAGCTGTTTCTAACAAAAAAAGCTCTGATAAACCCACTTTACACCACTTGCTCAGAAGCAAACAACTGACAAAGCAGCTGGTCAAAAACGTGGAACATTTAGCAGCTAAGGAGCCAGATATTTTGTTCAGTAGTTGGTGGAGACCAAAAATATGACACAAATATGACTCTATGACTGAGTACAACACTGTTTGCTAACATGTTACACTTAATAGAGTGATAATATGTAGTGTTAACAGCTTGTTGCACTGCCCACACATGGCCAAAAAATAAATGAGCATTCACTGGGTAGGTCAAGAAAAGTAATGCTGTATATGGCCTACTTGGTGTTGGAGATGAATGTGAAAATATGTCATAGTTTATTTTTAGCAAATCAGGGCTCAACAGCTGATGTAGAACTCAATATACAATCCAACTGCCAGAATAAATGTTGGCATTGTACGTTTCTGCAAACCACGGATACATATCAGTATTTAGCAGCAGATACATTGAGACGTTATGTTTCTACACTGATTAACATGTGGTTATGTTAAGGCGTGTGGTTATGGTTAGGACTTAAATAACCCAGTTTTGGTGGCACAATCTTAAAAAACCACCACTTCTGTTTCTTGTTGGTCTTGAACAGTGGTCTCACCAAAGTGTCACACCACCCACTATCCCCTCCACCTCCCAATGAAAAGTCAGCTCATATACATGTAATCAGAACTACATCACTTTAGAAATGTTAATATGGTGCATATGAAATGTACAAATGTTACATATCCATGGTTTGAAGAAACACATGATGCCGACATTTTCCTCTAGCAACTGGGCTGCAACATATGAAATCAGTGACTATACTTTTTGATCATGTTGGATTGGTCACTTAGTTTGTTTGGGATTTATAAATGTTAGAGAACAGGCTACATATTTTCCATCTGATTTTTTTTTTTTTTTTTTTTTTTGGTTTGTTTTTTGTCTTGCTTCCTGATTCTGGCTGAAATGCACAACAGAGCTTTGTGTACCTCGTCTGCCTGGTGTAGGGCTGTCAAAATTGCTCAAAAATGACGTTCGAATATTCCTTCTAAAAATAACTCATAGGTTCGAACCATTCGAATATTTTTTTTTTCCGCATTATGTCTACAAGAGTGCAAACTAATACAAGGAAACATACATGTATATGTATTAATACAAGGAAACGTAACTATTGTAGGTATTTTTATTTCAACATAAATGTCTTTGAAAACATTTACATACTTACACATTAAAACACATAAAACAATTATCTATAGGCTAACATTACGTTATAAACGACCGCGGACCTCTCGCTCGCCCCCCCTCTCTGACCCGTGGCCACACCGCTCGCGGAAGCGCTGCGAATAGCCTCGAAGCACCGGACCGTGACCGGCTCGCGCCCTGCAGCGATCGTTTCGGCGTCTGGTCTATTTTCTGCGCGAGCTGCGAGCGAATGTGTCAAGTCGAGTGACGGAGACAACAGCTGGGAGCAGAACCGCTTGTCGACCAGGCTGGAGAAATGCGCGTCTGATGCCAACGCCTACTCGCAAAGAGGACAGTTGCGGTGGTGTTTTTTTTTTTCTCTCTACAATCGAATATCAATTTTCACATCGAAGGTCCATTTCTTTTTCAAATTCGAATTTAAATTCGAATTTAGAATATTCGTTGACAGCCCTAGCCTGGTGTATTTCTCATTACAACAGTCCTAATATTCAGACCATGTGTGTTTCTCCCCCTCAGCACTTACATAAGCAGCATCATATATTCAAGATCCCTACGCCTTTTGCCAGCCATGCCTTCCACCCACTTGACGGCTTCCTGCAGAGCTTACCCTATCACGTCTACCCATTCATCTTCCCCCTTCACAAGGTGGTAGTCTACTTGTCTCTCTTTACTAAACATTCTGATCGTAGGTCTGAGGAGTAACAAATACACAAGCTTCACTGCATATTTCATGATGCTATTTTTGTCAAAACTTAAATTTAATTATTTCAGATTCAGCTGCATGTGGACGAATTTTGATGGTGTTTGCTTGAGAAGTAGTGTAAAAGAGAAAAAAAGCAGTTAATTCCAAAAAGTACATTATCAGCATGATGTTAACTCTGTTACTTAGTTAAATGTTTTTAAATGACATTTGGGATATTTTCATTACAGGTGGTATACCTCTCACTCTTTGTATTTGTCAACATCTGGACCATATCCATACACGATGGAGACTACCGCATCCCTGGCCCCCTGATATTTCTGATCAATGGTGCTGCTCACCATGTAGACCATCATCTCTTCTTCAACTACAACTACGGACAATACTTCACGCTCTGGGATCGACTAGGGGGCTCCTACAGACACCCCTCAGCCCTGCTGGGAAAGGGGCCACATGACCACATTCGCAAGCTAATGGCAGAGGGTGCACACACACAGTGATGATGGAGATGCTGTCAGGATTTTCTTCATTGGTTTAAACCTCTCAGGGAGGTTCCTAATGCTCAGCCTAGGTCATGACTCAAGAGACAACTGCATCAGATGCAAAACAAACAATCAGGGGGCGTCGGTGGCTAAGTGGTAGAGCAGACACCCCATGTACAAGGCTGTTGCTGCAGCGGCCTGGGTTCGACTCCTGCCTGGGGCCCTTTGCTGCATGTCAATCCCTCTCCCTCTCCCCCTTTCACGCTCATCTGTCCAATCGATTAAAGGCTTAAAAATGCCCCCCCAAAAAATATCTTTAAAACAAGCAATCAGGAGCAGGAATGAGAAAACAGAGACGTGGATTGTTTTCCAAACAAAGCATCTCCCAATATTGTACAATACAACAGCACCACAACCCTCCAAAATGACCATAAAGTTGAATCAGTACCTCAATATAACAGTTTAAACTTCATGAAAGTTGTTTTTATGGCAGGGTTGTTTTTCCAGTATGTCATTAGCTTTGACCATCCCTTTGATCAAAATAATTCACACTGCATATGTTATAGTCTTCTGCAAGACCTTGTATAAAAATGACAGGGAGCAGATTTTACATATTAGGTGCTATTCCTTTGATATTTGAGCTCAAATGGGCTGTTATAAGTAACTGATCAAGATTATAGAACACTTTGTGGGTCTGAGATAACTGTGAGAAAATAGTTGAACTTTTAAGGACTTTGGTCTGATGATGTTTGTCATCCAGGACTGTATTCATCAAACTGCCAACATGATGACAACTTCATAATATGAGGCCAGTGTTTCTATGCATTTTGGTAAGAGTGATGGAGCATTGACAGACACATTTTTTACTAGCAAAGACTACTTTACAAAGAGCACACACCATATCTGTGTGAGTGTTCACTGTCCTCACTCTCTGGATTTGACACAAATTTGAAAAAAAAAACAAAGCATTACATGCAAAAGAGGCAGAACAACTGAATGCAACTCTTTTTTCATTTATGTTATCACAAAATTGTTATTTTATGTTAATGTTTACAAAGACTACAATATAAACCCAATACCAATGCATAATAAATGTTTGCACTATGTCTGCTTAGCTGGAAATTTCTTAAATACAACAAAATGCAACAAGATGTTGAACTGCATGTGTCTGAATCCAGTGTCCATATGTGTGTGTTTCTGTCCTACAGTCTGAACCCAGATTAGCCTTTCAGCTTCCAGTGCTCGGTGTGTTTTCATGCAGGCTCTGCAGGGCAAGGTCTGTCCACTTCATCTCTTGTTCTTTCACAGACTCTGTGGAGCCTCCGTTGTCCTGCTCAGCTTCAGGCAATTCACTCTGACAGACAAGAGGGGAGACAAGATGAATATGTGGAGCAGTTCACTCTACTTTATGTCAAAAACATGATGGTGCCAGGATAAAAACTGAGTATCTGAGGGAGGCAACAGATTCACCTAAATTAAAATAAACAGGGATATTTTTCTGACAAATGTTTAGACAGGAGTTTATGGTTGTTCACTACTGATACAGCTACTAAGTATGATATGACAGCATTTGAGAGCATGTGGGGCCAAATCTGTACACCCAGAAGAACTCATTAAAAAATGTAAAGCCAGAATCACAGATGTCATACATGTTTTGAGCCTGTTAGAGGACTACTGTCACTGGATTTGAGCAAGAATGTCGATCTTCATTTTCTCACCATCGTCAAAGCTGCTTGCTGTCAGTTCTGGAAGTTTGGGTTCCTTCCATACCAACTGAGAGCAGATCAAATTGAAATGGCTTTCACCTGAGATGAAGTGTCACTCAATTTGAACCTACATTAACTCAAGGCTGCTTCCTAGCATGCTCCATCAGATTTGTCATTTGTCTAACATTCTGGACTGTGTCCTGTTTAAGGCCAAAAATAGTGTCCTCTCATGGCCTCCGTTGCACAGCAATTGTCTCTGTATCTGTTATTCACACACAGATAACAGGCTAGGTTTGTTTTGTGCTCATTAAACAGTACTGTCATTAATTAACTTCTATATAGGATTAATTAACAGCAGTCACGTTAAAAAATATCCTCCTACATAAAAACCATAACTTTGTTCAAAATGACGATGACAAACTTCTGCACCGGATGGAAAACAGTGTGTTAAAGGCTGCTGCTAATGCTAACATTTACCAAAGGGATGGTGACATCTTCATACGGCAGCCTGTCTTCCCTCCAGGCGTCATCGGTGAGGTCCAGGACTCTCCCGTCTCTTTGGATTTCACTGTCCATCCTCAGAGCAGGGCTCCAGATCTAACACCTCAGATCTTCTCCTCTCACCGAGTTTAGCCTGAAGCTAACTGCAACACTTAACTAACAGTCAAAAGCCAGTTAGCCTACCAAAATATACAAACAGTGACACACAGTTAAGCAAAGTCGGTGAACAATGTGGCTGAAGTTTGGCTGTGTTCAGTTTGGGGTTTTTAGACGTCTGAGCAAAGCAGATGCGCTAATTGTACGTAAACCTCTAGACGCTCAGTGATGACGTCACAAACGATGCCTTCCCGTGCTGAGGAAAGTACTTTATTAGCTACAAATCCAAATTAATAATAATACTTACAGCAACCGGAGGAGGAAGAAGAAGAAGAAGAAGAAGAAGAAGAAGAAGAAGAAGAAGAAGATGAGATAATAATAATAACGTCGCTTTTATGCCGGTTTTAACCACTGTTCAAAAGGCACCATGAAGTTAATGTATTCTGTATTTTATATAACAGTCAAATTATGTGGTTAAAAGATCAGGATACATCTAGTAAACGGGCTTTGGTTAGGATCATTTAATCAGACTATTTCCGGTGTCGGCCTACTTAATGTTTTGAAGTTTCTATGGTAACCAGACGTCTCATCTTGGAGCTGTGCTCCCGCTAACTCAACACATCACAAATTGTTCTGTTGTTTTACTGCATTTCAAGGTAACTATATTATATTATTATTATATTATAAGTTAACTGTATTATATTTATGTTACAACTGTGAACAGCAGCGTTTTCATGGGCTAAATGTTAATGTAGGCCTAAGTGTTATGAATTAACCGTTAACTAACGTTATTGTAGCATCTGAACTTGTCATTTTAGCTAAGTTAGAGTAATCTCCCTGCAGCGTTAGATGAGACGAAGTTTTCGTTAAGAGTGCATTAATATAGCTAGGGTGAAGTCAGGCAATTTGATACACTTCGTGGAAGATTATCAAGAAAACCACCTAAAACTCCGAAGACTACCCCGAGTGTTACTTTACAACTTGTTATGGTACTCTGAAAGGCTGTATTACAAAATTTGTTGCTACACATCAAGGACCTCTACCTCACTATGATGACATGTTCAGGTAAAATGGGACAGCTGGTAAGTTCAAATGGTACAGTTATGTTTATTTGTTTTTAAGTGGTTAAATCTATTTATCAGTTCAGTCATATTATCATTGTAACTGTTAATGTAACCTGTGGTTATCCATTAAAAAAAGATAGTTCAACTTTTCTGCCATACTTTCTCTGTTCTTTTGCTGCCTCTTTCCTTCGTACCATATTGTCTATAATGGACATGCAAATGTGTGTCAAGTAGGGTTAATTCTGGACTATTGTGGCTGATATGGACTCACTGCATCATCTTTATTATTTTTTTTAAGTGACAAAATGACTAGAAATGCCTGTAATATGACAGGGTAGTATACGTCACAGTTTTATGGCTCCTGATAGCTTAAAAACATGCTGGTTTCACTTCAGCGAAACGGCGGAGTTTAGCATAATATTTTTTCCCATATTACCTGAATGCATTGAGTATCCACTCAAAGCCATTTTCCAGTAAAAGTGTATTATGAAAATATTTTGATTATAGGTCAAACAGTTTGGGGGAGCAGTAGCTCAGTCATAGGGACTTGGCTTGGGAACCAGAGGGTTACCAGTTAAAGTCCCCATCCAGACCAAATATAGGGTGTGGACTGGTGGCTGGAGAAGTGCCAGTTTGCCTCCTTGGCACTGCTGAGGTGCCCTTGAGCAAGGCACCAAACCCCCAACTGCACGGGGCACCTGTCCATGGGCAGCCCACTCACTCTGACATTGCTCTTTTTAATACATAGGTATTTAGTAGGTGTAGGTGTCAGTATTTCGGGCCTGTGTGTATATGACAACAGAGTAAAAAGAAAAAACAACTTGAATTTCCCCTAGGGGATTAATAAAGTATACCGTCTTTGTCTTAATTCTTAATAAAATGCAGCATCCTACAACATTTTTTGTTGTTATACCCTTATTTTTTTTTAGCTGCAGCACTGTGATTACCAAAAAGAGAAAATCAACATGCCACGTGCAAGTTCTGGCAGCAGTGATTTTTTTTACTCTTTGCTCTGGCCACATCTCAGACAGATAAAAATGATTGCTTCATTGCTTCAGTGGACATTTGTAAAAACAATGCAACCCCATGTTCAGTGCCTGGCTGCTAATACATAAAGAGCCCAAGATGTTAAACCTAATTTGTCCCATTTTACTTGATGTCTGAAATTACCTGACTTCACCCTACTCAATAAGAAAAATCAGCTTTAAGTATATATTGCAATTCTATTTGAAACTGTCCAAAGATAGTTGGATCAAAGATAGCTGAGAAGCTCTCATTTGGCCTGTATGATGTTAATGTTGCCAATGGGTAAACAAAATAGGAAAGAATTCCTGCACCAGCCAGTTTTATTGTAGACATTTATTTAAAATAAGCCTGATTGTGTGTAACTTTGGTTTGTGAATTCTGATACCAGTTTCTATTTGCAGGCACTGCAGTGATGGCATCCTCTCAAGAACAGCAGGTAGAAACTACAAAACCATGTACCAACCCTGGAAACCCAGTTTTCTCCTGCATGATGACTCCAGCAGTTAAAGATGCAGTGCCAGTACTGTGGGCAAAGCCTCAGAATCCATTGTACAGGACCACCTCCCGTGATTACGGTCTTCGCCCTCCAACCTTTGAAAGCTCACCGTGTACTTTCCACCCTAAATCACAAAGATTCACTGAGGAACTCAGCAAGAGTGGGATGTATCGTGACAACTCCTTAAACACCGCCTTAGACCGAAGCAAGGTGTATGACTGTCCCAATTTGCAGCACACCATCTAAGTGCTTGACTGAAGAATACCTGTGCACCACATGCACAACTATCCTCTTTGATAATAAACTAAGATCCTTTTGTTACAACATTGTGTTAACTGCTCAGAGCCTGTGAGGTGATTCATTGTTTAATCTTTAAGAGAAGTTATTTGTTTTGGGCATATGCTTATTGTGAACGCTCACTTAGTAAAAATGTACCACAGACTGAAACTTGAACCTGGACCTACCTACCTACAGTTCCTCTCTGTTGTATTCTCCATATTCCCTGACCTAAAAGACCTTCATTTAGTGTTAATAAAAGTGACCTTTTTGATGACCAATAAAATGATTCTTAAAGGTTTTTTTTTCCTCACCATTGTGTGGCACAGTGCAGATTCACCTGGGTAATTGAATCTCTCAATCCCCAGTTGTCCCATTAAATTTCCTCTGAAAGGGAAGCACCACCTAAATTAACATTTCCAATATGTTATTTGCATTGCCTTGAAAAGGTCAATCAATATTTGGAAGACGAGCTACTCTTTCTCAAAACCAGAAACCAGCAAAGTCTCAAACTTGTGATGTCATCAAGTATAAAGTCTGAAACTGCTCCACAGACAGTGAATGGGAGTCTGATTTTGTGGACCCACAGAGAGCTTCTTTTCTTTGTATACCCAAATGAGCTTTATTTCCTTGTACTGTTCTCAGTTCTGAAACAGAAAATGTACCTGTATAAACCAAATCAAAATGTTTATTTACAATAACTTCCAGGTAGAAAACTCCCATGTCATGAATATAAAATGAAACAGCGCTGAGCAAATGCTGCCTCAGTTAATCTTTATTACCCAAAGGCCCATGCAAAAAAAAATGATCAGTTAAAGTGAATGCTATATTTGGAACATTTTCACTGCTTTACCCTGCTGTCAGACAGTCTTTTCCAACAGATAATTGACGCTGTTATCACATCAGACTCCATTAACAAGAACAATAATTTTACTTAGCAGAACACTGGAGTTGCTGGTCTATCACTGCCTCGGTTAGTTAGTGTGTAAGGTAAAGCGTAGCAAACATTCAAATATACCATATGCTCACACTGATATTGATTTTTAGGTGGTTTCAATAGATTTTACTGCAGCCATCCTCAGCAGTACATTGCTCTGCTTCCATGCTAGTAGATTTATCAAAAATGATAGCAAAGCAACAAAATACATTATTTAAGCACAGCAGAGACGTCAGGTCAACACGACAACGGTGTTTAACTATATATATTGTTAAATGTTACAGTTACAGCTAAAAATGACAACAGAAATCAACACGTTTGATGATTTTACATATGACTGTAACTGTTACCAGTTGCCAGTTATACCCAAAAGTAATTCTTGTTGTTACCATGACATCACAGTGATTCAGTCCATATTCAGAACACTCCCAGTGTTATACATTTTTCCCAATCTATTGTCTATGGAGCAGCTCCAGACTTTATATCCCATGACATCACAAATTTGAGTTTTAGCACTCTAGTTTTTGGATTTTGGAGAGAGTTGTTCACGTTAACTAGGCCTAATCTTTTTTGGACTGTCTTAGACGACAGGAATAACGTATGAATTTTGAAAATGAATGTAGTTCCCCTTTAAACAAACAATAAAACAATCCCCACTGCAAGATAACATCATATATAGTCTGTATTGTATTGCTATAGCTCGCCAATGTGATTGTGTGATTGTTTTGTTTTTGTTTTTTTAATCTTGTGACTTTGATTGCGTTTAAGTACTGTGGGAAAGTTTGCCTTCAGGGCATCCAGTCGCCTTGTGGCATTTAAGGGTTTTCACCCAGTTTCTGTTTTTGATAGCATTTATTTTCTCACATTAAATAATTGTACTTGGTGTTGATACTGTAGTCTAATGTAAATACTTCTTTATGCTATTGTATGTATTTTCATCTGATGTAATTTTATTGTTACAACTTGTTGCTTTTATTGTCGCCTGTCATAAAACAATAGCCTGCATACGTGCTACGTAAATATAATGAACAAAACAAAAAACAGTTATTTCTAAAGCGATTCCGTGGGGTTTGTAATACGTCATGGGTAATGAAAAAAAAGGAGAAGGCACGATTTTATTTTATAACAAAAGGGAAACTGCGGTCTCTGCTGTGTGTCTACGCTGTGTTCATCAGAAACCCCCCTCCCTGCCTCCTCCTTCTCCTCCTCCTCCTCCTCCTCCTCCTCTGTCAGCCGCGCCTCCGCAGCCACAGCTGATGATGTCCAATCTTTTAGCCGCAGACGCTACGGAACTTAGCAAACAGCTAGCGGTGTAGCGTCGTTAAAATGTGTACGAGGTGTTAGCTGGCCGTCACATGAATGTACTGTTTTAGAGTTCAGTGAAGGTGTGTTGAGATAGATATAGACG